GAATTTCTACAAACTTTCATATATTTCATGAATTATTTATGAAATATTCAACAAAACATTTGTACATTTTTCAGAGTTTCATTGGTTCAAATAGTTTCTCTGATATGACAAGTTCATTTTTCTTGCCAAGATCGATTCAGCTGTAGTTGTTGAGAATGATCTATTGTTTGTCGAAGTCTGTATTCACCTAGTATCCATTTCACCATTTAGTCGATCAGATAAGTCAAGCATGCACATTGCTATGTAACAAGCCTCGGTGAATTACTTGCTTAACTGAGAGGGGATCACTTGTGAATGTAATATCCTATATTTTGCGTCAAAATAGTGTTCCAGAGGATGGAACAAACGTTGTTGCGTACAATGAAGTCCTTATTTAAATTCTAATGCCCCCCACTCAAAAACCAGGAATAAGCAGTCAATTTTAACGGTGATCTCATTTTTAAAAATATTGTATCACAATTTGTTCAATGAGTTTTCAACTGTTCAATATTGTCTATTTCACAAATATGGTATACTTGAAAACATTAATCTACGTTTTATACAGCATGGACCCGATTTATATCTATGACCTGACTTTAAGCATTTACTCCAATCGACTAGTCGGTTCATTCAAATTTCATTCTAATCTCCAGTAAATAAGAATGAATGACTGAAAGTTAATCTAGAAAAATTGATTTATCTTGAACGATGACTTTGAAGCAATCAATATTCACGTATATGTATACAAAAAGATATTATTTGAATATACTAACGAGAAACTTCTATTCACATATTGTAAAGGTAGCGGGATGACATGTCCCATTTCTAGGGTCATTTATGGACGTAAAATATTACAGTTTTTGGTAAAATATTGTGTTTTGGACAATGAAGCAAACAATGTTGAGTACGTTAAACTCAATTACTTTATTCTCATTTCTCTGTGAAGAAATTAAGAATGAGCACTCAGTTAAACAGTGATCTCGTACTTAAACAGATAGCGTCAAAATGTGTTTGATGTCAGTTAACCCACATACACTTACAAATCTACCTCAAACTATGTGAGAGTGGTTTGTTCGTTCGAGAACACTACATACACCAGAGATACAAAGTAGTTGCATCTTACAAAATAACAGTCTGATAAGATAACTGAACGAGAATAGACTATGGTTAAATAGATAATACATTTGACACTTATGCTAATAGTTTCACCAATACATAACTAAATTAACAGCGCAATCCAACTAGTTCTTGCAATCACACCTTGCAGATTGATAAGGTGCTGACATGTGGAACTACAGAAACAATATCTGACTATACCTGATGAATGAGATATTCACATCGAATCGACATCTTGCTTGAATCTCCTCGCACATAATCGTCCCGTCCGTCGATTCATTCTATTATGTTTGTGTGAAGAAAGTTACTGGAAATGGTGAATAGTTAGTAGCACGAATCAAGGGGAAAGAGGGTCGCAAGTTACAAAGAAATATGTTCACATTTGCTTGAGGATTTGTTGTAGACGAACAAGTTTATTTCTCATCATTTTCATCTGAGTGTGCTGATTCAGACATGCTCAAGTCTACATGTACTAGTCTCAAACACAGCTACGATTACTGACGTGAGAAAAGTTAAACGTTTGCATGATTCGGCAGCTGGAATCCTCTAATCGCGAAGACCTTACAAAAATGATGATATCAGCATGTGATCATTGAAAACTAAGCGAAAATGAAATAATGCGAAATCGGTGTACAATTCGATACTGTGCATCATATTTACGACACGAATCAGATACATACAGTTGGTATTAATTAATGTAACTGCTCCTTTGAAGACAGCCCCATATGAAGAACAACATCAAACATCATCCAGTAGGACAAGATCAATAAACAGAATACTAATGCATGCGTTCAACATTATCGCATTCGATGTACACAGAATAAAAGATAGATAAGTGTTTAGCATTCCATATCATGTACACAGTATCGATCAAGCTTTCATGATCTGTTCTTCTCTGTCTACTTATCACATCTCAAGCAATAGATTCTAAAATGTTTCAGACAATGATTTAGTATAGAAAACTGTCTTTCTGAATGAAAAGCCTCTAAACATAGCCTTCACTAATTATCCCGTCGCAATCGTTAAGTAATATATAACATTTTAAATGAACTCTTGTTATTTCATGTTTATAATTATTGGGACGGAGGTGAGCAAAAGATAAACATTCGTGGACTTCAAACCATCCTTATCCAGCCAATGTCTATTGCTTGAATCCATTACATTCAATCATGCCCTGTTAAAAATTAGATCATACATTTTCACGAAAGCTTCGAATGTATGAAAGTGGACTGCAGTTTGTGAATAAGCAAACTGATGTTATAGGTTACACTGGAAGGATGATTACATATGGTTGCCAATAGTTTAATTGGCAATCGAAATTTCACATTCGCCGGTCGCGTGTCATTTTAAATCAGGTGTATTTAAGAGTACAATTTACTATTTGTCATAATCACTTATTCAAACAACATTCCTACATTAGGAAGTAAAATGATGAATAGTGTAAAGGTAACTGTAATTCGTTTATGAATTGCATTTACAAACATTTCTACGATTGAAATTGGTGCAGGTGTGAGATGTAATTGAAAGTGTGATCCGATAATCAGGCTAAGCTTGAATATCAGTATATCCGTGCACAACATTCCTATTTGTCACAGAGGTTTGGAATGGAGGTTGTGAATCAGTATTCATTATGAATGATGTATGAAAATGGACATGAAACATCACTAGTTTATAAACGTACATTTCCACATTTAAGCCACCAAACTGTCCATTATGCGAAACTTATAATAGCGTTATATTCAATTTCACTTATTTTGACTAAAGTCAGCATACTGGCAATCACTTGTACACGACACTCACATGTAGAAACCATGATGAGATACTGTACAGAGAGAGATGTCAGATAAATCAAGAGAATGTGCAAGACGCTTGATGTAGGAATTGGACACTGGATTTTGCCACTAATTAATTTTTGTTATTTCAAACTATGCAATGTTAAAAAAAGTGCACAACATTCAAATATACTGAGAAGTGTCAACATTATTCCGATTGAATGTGATAATCGGTCATAGTAAGTCATCAGCTTAAATCGGAATTGCGTAGTTCTCCTGGATATATAGCATAGTAGGGTCGTCTGACGGCATATTTGCCACTAGAGTAGAGAAAATAGAATAAAATAAATCAATGCAGCACCATAGCCCAAAGTAAAACGGAATTTATCACAGAACACACCATTCACCATTCATATACGAAAACATCGGTTTCTTGTGCATTCAAATGCAAATACTGAAGTGCGTATCAACTACATGACACATTAATCCATTTCCAACATCAGCTCTTTGAAATTCTAGTAGGAACCGGCAACTCACAGATCACTCATTAGTTTCAAACATACTTTTGAGCAGTCCAGCTGTTCACGAATAGCAGTTACTTGTTGACTCACCAATGCACTTTACCCATCATAACACAAATTTATTGAAGAGTCGAGTTTCATTGACTGCGAAAGTTGAAACTCTGTTCGTTTTAACTATTGCTACATCTGTTCAGCTTTACCTTTACTTGTATCAAAACGATCATCATTTTGAAATCATTCTACCAACATACAATGATGTTCATACAGAAAATGATCGTCATGTTAGGTAGCCAAACGATGGCGTTTTTCAACGCATCATGTTATACTATCAATATGTAATGATACAATCACAGGTTATTACATCCATCAAAGTTACTGATTAATAAAGAATCTATAATATTACTGGATTAGAGCAAACATCATCTTGATGTGCACGACTTTGTGTCACTATTAAGTCTACTTCGAATATTAGTTGTTTCGAAATGAAAATAAATGCACAAATACTTCTCGAATCACCTACCCCGGTCCATAGTTGCAAACAACAAGAATGTTCTTCGATGCATTCAGGTTTTTACATCTTGCATAGCCACAGCCAATGTGTGTGGTGTCGGTATAGGCTAGCTGTAAACATTCAATATTGTGAAATACATTCAGTTTTAAGCAAGTTATGCAAATCATTTACATTTCATGGAATAATTTTCAGACTTGAGATTCGAACGAAACAGTTCAATAATTCCATATGATCAACTATATACTGTGCACGCCTTTTGCAATAATCACCATGTACAAAGATCAATCGAATTGGTTTCATGTTCACTCAACAATCATGGAGTTGTCTAACTGATCATCAGGATTTAAAGTTATACATACATTATCATTCTATCATATTGACCGACATAATCATTCACACGAGCATGTAGTGAGTGAATTGTACTGTCTTGAGCAAGTCATATATCATTTCGTTTAAAGGTTAACGAGTTTGATAAAATAAATCATGTGGATATTTGACTTTGCCGTTAGTGAATATCAATCATATTGCAAGAATAGAGAGACAAGTGGGTTCTATGGGAATAGCTGAACAATCTACCGAATGTACAAAACTAAGAATCCGTTTAACATATCTGAGGATATTGGATTCAACTACAAGAAATCTTACTCATATATAAACAGAATATCCACCATGGAAGTCACGAAGTCAATATTATTCACAGTTGAGGTTGCCGGACAACGATGGAACCAGTGGAAATCAAGTGAAAATGAAGCTTTGAATAAAAATTGATCGGCATGAATTCAATGATCCGTTTGAAAGAATCAATCAGCTATCACATGCTAAATAATCAAAGGAAACTTATGAAGATATGCACTGGAATGCTAGACTAATTCAAGTATTCGAAACACTACAGAATCGTCATGTTTCTATAAATATATTGTTATGAAACGGGGTGTGTTACTGTGCCACTGTTGACTAGCCGCAGATGTCCAGTACAAAGTACTATTATCCAGAAGTGAAATCGTCTAACTGCAATACCTAAATCTAGAATATATATTTTCACCATAGTAATAATAATAATAATAATAATAAACGAAATGATATTCGCTCAAAACTCCTCACCTGTTTGTAATCTGCACATAATTTATTCTCCATGCAAGTATTTTTAGTGATATTGTAGTTCTTGTGTTCATCAAACCACAAAGACACTGCACTGTAAACACAAATCAACAAATGAACATAGAGTGAGATGAGTAAAGTAAACCATTCAATGTTGCCTACAACTCAAATCATATGAGTTATTATCAAACGCATTTTCGCAGGTTATCACTAACATGTAATGAATACAATCAACCTACTCTTTAACTTGTGAAACCACAGCTACACTCTGACCAACATATGTCCATTTCGAACTATTCCTCATGGATATGTTACTTCGTATTGGTACACAATGATTTGCCCACAATTGAGCCGATTCAGCTAATTGATAACTCCATTCCTAACATAACCAATTAGTAAAACATCGTGAATATTACACTAAGATGCACACTTGCTACATACGACGGAGAATTTCTAGTCGATTACTTACTAGTTTGGTCATGTGCAGTGCTTGTGGTTGATCTGGAACTTTGCCAAATTTTACTTCTCGTCTATAAGCATTGTGTAGAGCTAGAAGCTCAGAATTCAATACATTCCATGTTGCGGCTAGATTTTCACAAACATTCATTAAGATTAGGAGAAATAAGCTGAGCTGTGTTCTAAGCATATTGAGTTGACAATCAGGATATAATCAATGTTCACAGTGTTGTCGAATTTATGCATTTGTGAATTTATTTCTTGACCAATCAGAATTCAAAATCACTTTTATCACTTACTGGTACAAAAGTATATTGATACAAGTAAACAAATCTGTTAATCGATTTCCTTTTAACATATTTGTTGGAAATGTCAGCATAGTCACTCAGTCAGTCAACGTAGAACTTTGTACGTACGTACATCAGTTCATGTTGCCATACCACATCAGCACAGAGATGTAACTTTCAATTCAAGTCCAATAGTAGAAGAGGTAGTAAGGGAATTAGAAGTAATCGGAGAGGTTAGGATTAGAAGATATTCAAGAAATATGATTGAGTGAGAAAAGTTAAGAAAGTCAAAACTAGAGGGGTTGAAGAATCCAGAGGACTAGAATTTGAGAGAACACAAAGAATAAATTCAGGGTCTCTAACCATCGATTATTATCATTTCGCGGACCCCAACCAGGTAGTCGACAATTACCGACATGGCTCAGTCCACTTGTCAATGAATTCATGGATTTATGTCATGTTTTGGTTTGGCCGCCCCTAGCTTTCTTCCAACCTACTGCTACACTACAAAACAAAGCCCGACGAGGCAGTCGGTGGTTAGCCATAGGTAACACATGTCCCAACCACCTCAACTGATGAAGTTTCGTTACTTCATCGATTGATCTGCCATTCTTACCTAGCACCCGTTTCCTAATAACACCGTTGCTCACTCCGGTGTCCTAGGGTATACGAGCAATGCTTCAAAGACACCTGTGATCGAAAACCAATAACCTACGAATATCTTCTACTCTCACTGGCCATGTTTCACAGCCATATAGGAGAACGGAGCGAACCACTGCACAGTACACTCGTCCTTAAGTCAAGCAGCTTGGCAAAAGCCAATCGAGCCTTCTGTATCCGAGCTGAAATTTCGTCAGTCACCAGGCTACCGGGCACTGAGGAGACTCCCAAGATAAGTGAAGCGGTCAACACGCTCGACTACTTCACACCCTATCACTAGTTCAGGTGCCAATGCAACCCAGTCTTGAAGCAAAATTTCGCACTTGCAGGGGGAAAAGCGCATCCCGAACATACTTGCATTGTTGCTTGGGGTGGTCAGAAAACTCTGCATTTTGTCAGCGTCTTCACCAAGTAGGACAATGTCATCAGCATATTCTAAGTCAATTAGAATGAAAGGTCCACTCCTGAAAATTAGGACGAGGATAATGTTATATCTAGCAACATGTCTATGAAAAAATTAAACAAGAATGAAGAAAGTGGACATCCCTGACGGACACCACTTGAAGTAAAGAATTCCAATGACAGTTCGCCATAAGATCTCACTCGACCAGTGGTGTTCGAGTAGAGAGCTTGTATAAGGTTAATGTACTTCTTTGGTACACCTTTCAATGACAGACACCGCCACAGAACCTCACGATCAACAGAGTCAAATGCCGCTTTTAGGTCCATGAAAACGAGTATTGTAGGATGCCAAAATGTGTGTCTATGTTTCAGTACCTGTCGTAGTGTGAAGAAGCGGTCTATACAGCCACGCCCACGTCGAAAACCAGACTGGTTTTCTCGAGTCTGCTCTTCAGGAGCTTTCGTTAAGCGTCGAAGTATTACTGACGCTAATATTTCAGAAACTATATTAGTTAGACTGATTCCCCTGTGTTTGTCACAAGAAGACTTTTGTCCTTTCTTATAAATTGGGGCAATCAGTGATTGAGACCAGTCGGATGGGATTACGTCCAGTTCCCAGATTCTACCTAAGATCTCAGTCAACCTAGCTGCTAAAACTGGAACACCATCATTAAATATCTCAGGGATCAGTCTATCTGAACCTGCAGCTCGCCCTTGTTACAGATTTCCTAACGAATTCAACTTCATAAAGAGTCGGGGGACTTACGTGGATTTGCCATTCAGGTTGCCTGGAGATCGTAGGTAACCGAAGAGTGGCTCGAGGCCAGTTGAACTGATCCCTAAAGTGTTGTGCCCATCGGTCCAGTCTCCTGGATTGAGAATGGGTTATAATCCGATCGTTTTCCGAAATAGCTTCACTAAAATTACGGTTCCTAATATCAGTTTCCTTGATGAGTCTAAATAGTTGCCTACTGTCGCCTATCACCACTACCTTTTCCATCTCTCTCGCTTTCTCCACCCACCCCTTTTCTTGATCATTGCGTAGGTGTTTTGTCAGCCTATGTCTAGGCTGACTCCGCTCCTCATCGCCCTCAGAGTCAGGCGGGATGAGTTTTCGAGCGTCCATCGGTTCGGTGGACGCGACTGAAATCTACGGCTTCATCCTAGCCTTATTGTTTACCTGACTAGAAGATATCACTGCTGTTTCCACAGCCTTTTTGATATCATACCAACCTGCTGCTAGATGAAAATCGCTTACATGGTTGCTTAACTTTGTTTCTAGTTGCTCCTGAAATATTTTCTTAGTTTGATTATCATTAAGTAAAACCCACTGTCAGCATAACAATGAAATAAAATTGATCGGCGGCCTATGTTACGTATTTTAGTAGAAAAGAACAGCAACTGATAAACGGGAAACATTCAGAGGATACAAATTGTAAGAATCAACCGATGAGATGTGTGTTAGAGGTTTCAACTGACTAAACAAAAACCACATTCCGTTTATTCGATGACTTCATTTATATTCATTCACTTTTCACTAATTTTATGTGTGATATTTCGTATCGATAACCAAAAACAAACACAACCTCTTCAAAAACGTCTCCACTGTCACGGTGGAGAATTAGTGTACAGACTTAGATCCGATTACACTGCGTGCATATCCACATCTGTCTAATCCAACATGACAAACCAAGTATGCCTCAATATTCGCTTCCAACAATCATTTTGAAATGGCTGCACACTGAACTACCATAAACTGTTAATCTGATTGTGGTTGTGTCGAAGATAATTTTCACAGTACTACACATTACCACAATCGACATTTTGATGAATGATTGAATGAATACAAACAAACCCTTATTCCATCATCTTTCTAAATTGTAAACGTATGTTAAATTTCTCATTCAACTTCACTATACTAGTGATGATTTGACAGAGTGTCCTAGCATAATTTGGTAGTAAATAAAACTGATACACTTGTTAAGTTGATCATCTTTAATAAACAGTTCGAGAAGTAGATAACTGTTGGTCTACATTCCTCATTTGATTCATTTGAACGTTCCAACAGATAAATGACATGTTGTCACCATTCCCGCCTACCAATACAGCATGTTGACTTTCATGTATCAACCAGTGAAACAACAGTAGTATTTCTTAAGTAAAACTAAAATCCCTCTGTGGCTCAATGGGGTCATTAAGACTGGACAGATGAGAGAGAGAGAGAGAGAATAACATTTCTCACCCTTTCTGATCAGTCCGCTGGTTACATCGCATGTCACATTATTTGTTTAGACATGAAAGTGAGTTGTGTTCACAATAATCTAATAGGCAGTTAAGACATTGTGATGCTTAGAAGTATATGAATCAAGAAGTAAAGAACTGCAACAACGAATGTATTGTATTTAGAATTCGAAATCAAGCATTCAACAACAACAAGAAGTTACTAGTTCATTCAAACACCACATCCGCCGCAGCTTAAATTGGAATGTATATGTCTGTAATCAATTGTACGTCTTCTTCTCAAATTCATCCTGTGTCTGTCCGACAGTGTATTGGATAAAGGCTCTGTATTATCTAGAATGCTCTCATTAGTATTAGAATTAACAACCGGAATCGGAACAGACTCACCTGGTTCCTGGAATTGTATTTGATCAACATGTCGATTGTGTGTACTTAAGTCATTGATATCTTGAAGTCGCACCATAGATTTCCCGACATTCTTCTGAACGATCCCCGTGGATGGTCGAAGTTCATTGCCACGATAATATGTAACTTCTGCAGACTCCAAACATCTCATATTCGACCGAAGAATTCTTCCTTTTACTAGTTTTGACGGAGTCTCTTTCGTCACCGAATGTCTGGCATTTCTATATTGCAGTAGAAAGGTATCTACTCCCCTCTCCAGCTCATTAAATGTTGAGGCGGCAATAGAATCACTCAACCTCGAATGCTGATTTTTCAGCTTATGACACTTTTCGCAATTCTTTGCTGTACGACAAATATCTGCATTTAATGACTGTCGAGAAATGTAGTCAACATGTTGAATTTGCTTGGCACTCCCGTGCTGAACCATTTTCATACTTCCATTGCACTTAGCACACGTGGCTATCAAATCTTTAAGTAAAGCATCAGAATTTTCTTTAGAAACTAGGAAAGACAACTCCACTTTAAGTCTTCTCAAATTCTTTAAACCCAGTATTCACAGTCCCGTTTCGCTAACTAAGAATTCACATGGTATGTATGAGGAATTATCATCTCTTATTAGCAATTCACAACATCCTTGTATAGGCAGTCTGTGTCCAGTAATCCCCAATATTGATACTTCAGTGGGTCGTACCACAACGTTCGGATCTAACGATTTCAGGTTCTTGAATGAAATAATGGACTCTATACTGCCTGTGTCCACAATAAAGTCATGAAACGAACCAATTGATGTATATAGTCGCTTTTGAATATGAGCATTACCTTTCGAAATGGTAGACAAAGATAAATGATCATTAGGATCAGCTGAATTATTGGGATCTAAATTACAAGATTTAGTACTACTTGAGGCAAAATGAACAGTAGCTTTGCATACTGCTTGAATGTGTCCTATCTTACCACATCTAAAACATTTAGCATTACGAAATGTACAATAATAACGAGAATGAAGTTTTCCACATGATAAACATTTGCCAAACTTGGTCTCACCTTTTTGATTTCCTTTGTAATTCTTTTTTGAGACACCGTTCATTTTTACACGAGAATAGGAACCTCTGTTAAACGAACACAATTTTGATTGACCCTGAGATTGTTTTTCATC